CCTACCCCCTTCCCTTCACACGACAATTATATATAGAGATGTGTGCATATCTATGTGATTATAAACATATATGTATCTCTGTTTATATATATATGTGTGAATACTTATGTATATACACATGTAGAATCTTGCAAAATAGTATATATAGAGAAAAATATTCACACATTCTCAAAGCCACTTAAACAGAGAAATCAGAGCCTAAAAGCATTCATAGCTTCTTCAGCCATTTCAGAACAGCGACCACTGGAAAACAGATGCAGTTGTTCACTTTTCATCAGGATCAATTTTTTTTTTTAGTTTATTTAATAATATCCACTGAACACATTTTTTTCAGTGGAGCAGACGCTCAACTGCCTCTTCTCATATGTTTGCTGCAGTGGATAGCTCTCTAAGTGAGACAAACTTTTTGGCTACAATACTGATTTTATACTTTTAGGATTAGAAACCTCAGATATTAACATTCAGAGATTTTTCCTACTACATTTTTGCCTTCCTCTAACCTGCACATGGAGTGGTGAACAGCCCAGATACTTTTATGGTCAGCTGGAAAGTCCTGATGCAAACGAAGCTCCTCCTGGTGGGTTTTAGATGTCCAGAGAGGCAGATTGGTGTGTGCAGAGGTTTCAAGTAGCTCCTTCTTCACTTTCTGACTCCCTCAAATGAGAGACCTTTGTACCCCAGAACCCTTGGACCCTCAGTGCGAGGTACGCTTAAGAGAGGAGAAACCCAACCTTCACCTCAAGGCTGGTGGTCTCTCATCCTCAGCACTGCAGATGTTAGAGGAAAGACACATTCCCTTCACTACAGAGATGTCCTGAGTGTCCTCAGGGGCACACCAGACAGAGGGACATCTAAGTCTGCAGGTGCTGATAGAACTAGATCCTTACTGCCTGCCTTTCCCAGCTGCACAGAGGTGTGCCACACTGGCGCCTTCCCGGCAGCCTGGAGAAAACCACCACCCACAGCATGGTCCTGGATGGGTGGAAAGACATGCATCTGGTCTGGGACATCCACTGTGGCAGTTGGGACACAGAAGGATCTTGCTCAAAAAGCACTCATGAAAATTGAAACAGAAGCCTTTAACTCTCTGTAGGTGTCTAAACTCCTGTGAAACTCTACCCTCACCAATGGTCTCAGAACTGCAGGACTGGATAACAGAGGAAAATCTTGATTTATTGACTCATACATACTGAAACCCCTCTTCTTTGCTGAACCTTATTTTTAAAATAACAAGCCTTTCTGTCTTGAACTAAATATAGATCAGGAGGACTGCTTAGCAGTGAAGGACTTCAGACAAACTGGAAGTTTTACACTATATTAATCATCAGATAAAACAAACATTTAACCATCAACATGAACAGTTCCCTTTCCTGCCAAAACGTTCTCATTCAAAGATTTTCACACAGTCATGGCTTGTTGCAGTTGTTCTCACCCAGAGAGACTCTGGCAGGAACTGCTCGGTGATCAATCCAGAAGGACACCCAGGACAACATGACCATGAGGGTGGCGGGGAAGTAGGTTTGGAGCAAGAAGAAGAAGATGTGTCGGCGTAAGGTGAAGTTTATGTAGAGGCGATTGTACCAACCTTAGAGAGAGGAGGAAAGCCACAACCAGTGAGAACAGTCTGGATGGAAGGCACAGAGAGAGAGCTTTCTTTTGATCTTTTACTTCTAAAGGGTAGTGAAAAGAGAAACTGATCTTTCAAAGCATGTACTGTCCAGACCATGCAGACTACATTTCAGTGACAGAGAATCCCAAGAGCTCTCTTACAATTAGTTATACAAATTAGGTTTAGCAATAACACCAAATGAGAAAAGGCCAATACCTGTGCTACTGTAGAAAGCCAGTCTCGATGTAGTGTGGAATTTTTGTATCAAAAACTGAGATAAGGAAATCTTTTCATCAGTTTTCAGAGATTCATTCCCATTTTTCCAATACAGCATTAGATCTTCATCAGTGTAAGCATCTGAGGGAAAGAAGAAACACAATGTGATGTGATTTCAGCTTGGAGGGGAAACAAAAGTTAGTAGATCTAGTCAAAATTAACACAAAGGCATCTTTGGTATGAAGCAAAGCCACAATAAGTTTGCTAACACTGGAGCCTGGAGGAGATGGGTTTGTTTAGCTTGAAGAACAGCAGTCTGTGGTGGGGTCCAACTGCTGCCCTGCTAGGGCTCACAGAGAAGGCAGTGACAGGCTTTTCTCAGACTCTTCTCCAAGATGCAGAGTGAAAGAACAAGAGCCAAGGAATGCAAATTGCAGCAAAGGATTTTTTTTCCAAGCAGGTAAAAGGAAACTTTTTCAGGTAGCATTGTCAACATTTGAACAGGTTGCACAGAAAAGTTATGGAGCCTCCATTACCTTGGAGATGTTCAAAACCAAACTGGACACAGCCCTGAGCAATCCACCATAAAGCTTTCACTGCTCTGAGCAGGGCATTGGAGCAGTTGACTTCAAGATCAACCTAAATTATCCTATGATTATGCAATTCTGGTTTTTTTAGAGGAAAATTTCCATTAAACAGCCAGGAGTGATGTAAGGTCACAAATTAAAACAAGACACATTCTAAAATGCTAGGTTCTGCAGTGAGCTAAAAATGCAGAAGGCAGCAGACCCCTGCAAAACAAAGATAAAGAAAAAAATGGACCTTGAATTGAGGCACAAGAAATTCCACCTGGTCATATTCCCAGAAATATCACAAGAAATGCTCAAATTGTGTCCTTTAGATGAACTTGGCTCATAATAATGTAAAAAAAAAAACACCTTCATTGTTTGATTTGCCCACCTCCAGGTAAAGACCTCTACCCACTGAGCATGTGTAGTACATTTAAAATTCATTGCACATTTAAATCAAGGCAAACAAAGAATCATCTAATGGGTTCAAGAAGGAGTCTGCTTCTGTGATAAGAAGGAGTGTTTATAACAAGCACCCTGCTTAGCTGTAACTGGCTGTACCAGCTTTGCGAATTATCACCTACCACCCTTTTCTGTGCAGAACTGGAATAAAGCAAGTATCTCAGCTCTGTGTGTGTTTCAGCTCTTTGCACACTGGGTAAAGAATCCAGTTTTGGGACAACAAGAGAACCTCAAAACAACTAGATGTTTGTCTTGACAAACACTGCAGAAAGTTCACAGAACAACCATGAAAGTCTTGCTGTTCACCATCACTTTCTCCACAGAACAGCTCCTTCTCAAAGTAGCAAAGTAGTGTTTGCGTGATCAGGATTGTATCATACATAAACTACACTGGTGATGAATTTACAGAAAATCAATGATCATTACAATCAACTGTTCGTTGTGACACTTGGAAGCACCACTGTCCTGTCAGAAACAATGAACAGAGCAAAACTTCTCTCCCAGATTTCTCATCAGCAAGCTACTGAGAACCAGTGTATGTTGAACAATTCTGTTGGTGGGTTTTTTTGAAAGTATCATCTACTAAAATTCATACAAGGATGCTTTCCTTGCAAATTCCCCTGTCTTGCAGCATAAGGGCTAGATATACAACACTGTAAGTCAATAGAAAGAGTCTTGGTAACTCTGATGAACTATTTGCAGGCTCTAAAATAGACTGTATTCTGAAATGTGTCCAGTCTATGTTTGCTGTCAGCCATGAAGCACGTCTACCTAGAAGCAGAGAGACAACGTACAGCTTTCCAGCTCCAGAGAACACGTCTGAGAGTCCAGGGGGAAGTGGCTGAAGTCCATGTTGCACATTGCTGTCACTGTGATCCTAGAAGTTGAAAATGAGAAAGGTTAGTTTCCATGAGGAGCAGTGAATGGAGAACATTATCACAGATAAATCATTCTGCAGCTTTAATATTACTTTTAAAGGGAGATTGCCCCACTGGTTTTGCCCGGGAAGAAAACACCCCCAGCGGGACCCCAGTAGTGCCTCCAGGGTGGTCCTCAGCGAAGAGGAGGACAGTGGCGGTTAAAGGAGGGATGGGCAACGATCGCTTTCTTCCAAAATAAAAGGTTTTCATAACATGAAAATAACAAACAAAAACACCTGAGGCAGGCACTGAAACAGCACCCACCCCAGGGGAGAAGCGAAAGAGCATGTGGCCTTGGGGCCAGGGGTTTTTAACAGGTAGGTAGGTGGGTTTACAAAGGCATTGTCCTGTAAGGATACAGAGATGGGTTACCTACAGGTCAGGGGTCCAATGGGTGTTAGGGGATTGGTCTTGTGGTGGCTAAGCCAACCACAACCTGGGAAAGATGGAAAATTCTGGATGTGTGCCCATGTTTGGGGACAAAGATGTAATAGAAACCTGTCTCCCGGAGGCACACTGCAACACTTTAAAGCCAGTAATTACACATAATGTTAGCATAAAATCCTCAGGAAAATGCCTACCAATTCTCCAAGTCCAAGCAAGATGGATTATACACTGAAACTCCAAAAGAAGCTGTAATTTCAACACCTATCAAGGGCCTAAAGTACTATCTTGGGCATTACAGTAGTCTTAATATCAGTGCAAATATTTCCACTGTGGTTTATATCCAACTGTTTCCTTACAAGGCAACAATAGAAAACAACTTCACCATTTACATTCAAAGGTTCCCTTATGTCCAGTTTGATTAAGATTTCCTCATTTTCCCCACTGCTTAGTTCCCTCCATAGTCACCCCAACAATGACCCCAGCCTGAGGAACACAAACTTATTGCAAGCTAGAAAATACCTCCAGTATATGCATTATTAAGACAAAATCAGTTTCTTTCAGTGCTCAATCAAATTATTTTCATCATCAGAGCATATTTCTGGGGCAGGAGGTGTAAAGCAGGTGCTGCTGTTTTTCAGCAAGTGAGATTTGCCTCTGTTAAGTTCATGACTTAACTAGAGAGCTGCAGCAATCACAGGTCCAGTTTTTAAATATTACTCCAGTTTTGCACAGCATTGCATAACAAGTTTTCCAGTGACCTTTCTCTTGCAGACAGATTTGCAGTGGAGCTCCCAGTTTAGTACGGGCAAATCAGCTGTGAGTCATCATTTCAGAGGCTGACATCTTAGCTGTGACCATTTTCTAGATTCATTGCAGATGTTGATAAAGAACTTTTCTTCTGTTCAAGGGATTGTGACCCAAATCCTACTCTAACCCACGCACTCGCTGCCCCTGAGAAGCACACACTGTTCATTTTGACTTTAAAACTCGAGCAAATTTTTGCCATATGAGCAAAACTTAAAGAAGCTTTTTGAGGATATGCTGCAGAAGTTACAGTGTAGCAACAACCTCCTCTAATTGTGTGTCGCATTTAAGCATAACTCACTTTCATTACAAAGTGCTCTCTTCTTTCCTCGGGGTCACCTAAACTGTGGCACAACCTGTGGTCATTAACAGTTCATTAGCCAGGGACAGCACAGAAACTCTGCTCATCGATAAGATATTCCTCAATTAGAATGCAGTGTTCAGGTGGCCTTGAAAGCCTGAGGTCTAAATGAGGAATTAAACGTCCCTCAGCCCAGTGCCAACCCCATCTCAAGACACCTGAGAGCATTTCTAGTGCCACTGGACACCCATACTTAGTCAGACAGATCGGTTCTGAGTGTCCCAAACACCACCAGGCCCAAATACCACACAGGTTCTTGTTCTACTTGGATTTTATCCATTTAACTCTCGTGTGGTCAGCTGTGGTTGGGTCATATCCTTCTGCCTTGTGGGTGACATTAGAAAGTCACATCAGTTCCTTGACAATTCACAGAAAATTTTGAAGGTAAATACTGGGCACATGGGCAAACAAGTACACCTGAACAGAGCCAATGTTTGCCATTAAAAATACTCATTCTTTCATTTTGGATGTTGAGCACAGCTAAAAAGTGGCATGCTGCTGGCTTCAGCATATGAGAACTGCAGAGTGTGAACACTGGAAACTGCCGTTCAGTTACACCAAGCAGCACCTGTCCAGAAGGTCCCTACCCTCCTCCTGCTCTTCTCCCCTCAGTGCTGACCCAAGCTTACATCTAAACTCCTTCATTTTTCTTTCTGCTTCTTGTCTCTCCTACTACATGGAACCTTCATCCTCAACCAGTTCTAGCAAAATCTTAGGGGTTTACATCTTTAGGTACTTAGTTATGGTGTGGGTAATCAGACCTTTCTTGCAACAAATGGATGTATTAAATGGGTTCAGAAGAGGGAAGGTGCTCTTAAGTGTTTCATCAAGATGGGATTTTCATCATTAAGACCAGGCAAAATGAAATGGTCGTATGGTGCATACACTCTTACAAACACACATTTCTTTGTGGTTTTAATAATTTGTCCAGGTTTTTGGTTTGGGGTTTTGGTTGTTTTATTTTTTTGTTGGTTGTTTTGGGTTTTTTTTTAGTAAGTTCACTGGCATTATATTTTGACTATGAAACTAGTGAATTTCAGAGCTCTCTGGTTCAGTGGGTTATTGTCCTACCTGGGACAATATAATCTATTACACTCATTCTTCAATAGCCTCCTGAAGCTAACTTTAGAAAGAAAAAACATTTCCTAGTTATTGAAAATACACTCTTTATGTGTCCGTGATATAAGGAGGACATCATTTTTATCCAAAACAGATCCTCTCTGGGAACTTTCCATGCTTCATGCACTTTTCCATTCCTAAACAGGTTGAACTCACTGCACAAACATTCTGCCAGCTCTTGGACTCTGATTGAGGATGCCCAGCTGACTCCAGACTCTGTGACACAGAGCATGTCTGAAGTGAGACTCTGTCTGTTCTCTCATTGGTCCCTCTCTGGGCCCACCTTTGAGGTTGTTTCAGTTTGTCCTCCCACCCACGGGGTGATTTGGTTCAGCTGCTGGTGGTATCACTTGACACCAGTATCATACCTCCATACAAGCAGTCTATCATAAGTGTGCCTGCTGTTATATCATTGATGAGTTGCTCCACTAATAATAAGTTTGTAGCAACCTGTAACAGTATATACCTAATTAGTTATTGCTGTTATTGGCTGCTGCTCTAGGATTGAGTGATAGTATATTACTGATTGCTGATAATTTAGAACAGCATTAAATATATACATTCATTTTATTAATCTTAGGTATACTTGCTAGTGGTGGTTTGGTGGTAGTTTACTTGCTAGTAGTGATTTTTGTGGTATTTTTGGTAATCTGTAATAAGGTAGAGAAGTTTAGAGGATTAAGCCTCCATGTCCTTGTGTATTACAGAATCCTGCAAACCCCTGGTCACGATCCCTGTACACCCACAGGCTGGGTAACTCCTCTGGTCATGACAGACATGCCTCAGAATTCCTCCAGCTAACAAATTTGCTAGAAAACCAGGGACTATAGGGTACCTTTAATACTGTCATTTCAGCTCCAATAAACATGAATCTTTACATCAACATGCAAACACCAAGGGGAAAAAAGAAGTTTTTCTAGGCAAACGGGAAGCAAAGTAGGATAATTATAGAGGTCACCATCTGGTATATCAGCAGCTTCCAGTTTAATCATACATTGACCCTGGGACGAACATCCCCAGTTGACTAAGCCCTCCTCTGACTGCAAAGAATTAGGGGAATGCTTCCCCTGGGAGGAGATGATCTTGTTACTGCTCACAGCAGAGTTTCTTGCAGCCTCCTGTGAAGCATCTTGTAGTGGACATGCTGGAAACAGGGCTCTGCATTGGTGGTGGGAGTAGCAGCAGCAGGGTGGCAATAGCAGTCCTGTAGTGGCCACCAAAGCCACTCTGGGAGCAAAATGGACAGCGAAGCCCCTGGGGGTGTTCAGAAGCAGCACTGTTACCTCATGCTGTAGAGGACATGACCATCAGGGAACACTCGCAGCATGATGTTGTCTGTGGTGGTGTCATGAATGAAGGACCTTTTGGAGTGCACAAAGAAGACATCGGGGACCCAGATCTTCTTCACCAGCCTGCCGTCGAAGGTCATGCTCTTGTTGTTGGTGCTGGGAAACGAGAGACGCTCATCCTTCCAGTAGTGTCTTAAGTACAGAGTCATGGTGAAATCCTTCACAAAAAAAAGGAAGAGAACCAGCGAGATATCTGTTATTGTTGCTTTCCGCACCTAGGAAACACCAGAAAGAAAAATCATTCCTACCAGGTAGATAAAATCCCTCTCCCCTCAACTCCTGTTTCTTCCATAGACCAATGCTCTTTGTGAAAACATTTTCCTGAAAAAAGAGTTTCAGCCAAAACTAAATATAAATCTCCAATAAATGTATTACAGTCCTCAGTAATGTTCAGTCCTAAAAGAGATATAAATATACCCCAAGAGAAGCACTGTCCTGCAGAAATTATTCTTCAATCCTGGCAAAACTATCTGGAAGGACTATGGTATCAACAGCATGTTCAAGAGGAAAAACTTTCACAATTAGCTTAATGATCAGGCTAAACACTAATCAATTCATCCCCAAAAGAACGAAATCATTCTAACCAGCAACCAAGCAAAGGAACTTTTTCCTACAGTGCAAGTGTATAAATAAAGCTCTCTTTTAAGCTCATTGAGAGGGCAAGAACTTCTGTCACAAGAAAGATCGACAAACATCTGTTTGTCAATCACAAACTGGCAGCTGCTGCTTTCAGAGCTGAATCTACTCTCTCATGCTGAGCGATCAAATACACTATTTTTCTTTATATCCCCAACTAAGTGAGTGGTGACAGGAGCTGCAGCTGCCAAGCCCAGGAAGTAGCAACACAGGCTGGGATCTCCTCCTAACCACTCAGCAACTGCTTTCTAAAACCAACACCACCACTTTGCTGATGACGAAACATTGGTTAACCTGACTCTCCACTCCAAAGGGCTGCCCTGGCAACAGTCTTGCACTGCCAGTAGGTTTTTCATGCATTTGTCAAAGAAGTCTCCAGTGCCAGCCCTCACCTCGTTGCCCTGCACAGGGCAGTGCTGGCCAGACCCCTCTCTCTCTCTGACCATGGTAGAGACCTGCTGGAGGGACACTCTTGCAGGTCCTCACCTTGGCAGACTGGTCCCAGTCTCCATCTCCACTCCCCCCAGGGATGCTGTCAGCTCCTGTTCCCTGATGGACAATGGCCACCTTCCACTTACAGCTACATTCCCAAAGAAACTCTTCTAGTAAATGCTGCTACCAGCAGGGCTTAGGTTTCAACCTGGCTGTAGAAGACAACCTCAGAGTCTGGATGAGGAAAGCTTGACCAAAGCTGGGGAAAGGAAAGCAAGGAAGAGGTGTAACTGATGATTTCTTAGGAGTCAATCCCATTTACACCAGAAAGAAAAAAAGGGTAAAAATGAGCCTGGCTCTTCAGTGTCACCAACTCTGGGAAGCCCTCCAGCTGTGATGCAAGAGGAGGGCCAGGCAGCCTGAGGCTACAGCTGCAGAATGTCTGTGGGCAGCTCTGTCATGGGAGCACAGGGGGACAGGGACCAGTGTGGCATCAGTCAGGCACCCCCGATGTGACTTACAGCCACCATAGGAGGGGCACAGAGACTGCCTGCAGGGACAGCACAGAAAGGGCCACACCTGGGGAGCAGTGTGGTCCTTTCTCCATCCCAACACAGGGCAGGAGCCCTCTCCTCTCTTGCCTTCAGCACCTTTCTCTCTCCAAACAAGCCTCCCATGGCCAACTGGCCAACACACAGGACACCAAGTACCGCAAGCATCAAGCCCAGGTGGCAGCTGATGGCAGCTTCTAAGTACAAAATCCAGCTTGTGGATGTTTTCTCATGGCATGGGTCAAACTGGGGAGCTTGCAGTCACTGGCAGCTCAGTCCTCTCTGACCAGCACACTCACTAGTTAAAGACTGAGACAAGGGGTTTATTTCCTCACTCATGAATAGAAAAATCACTTAGGAAACCAGTTCTACAACGAACCAAGAGAACAACGGTACATGCTGCAGGCACAGCAAACAAGCAAACACAAGTGCCTCACTTTTGGAAGCAGGTTTCACGTGTGTGCCACGCTCTGGGCACGCTCAAGAGCATCACCCACCTGTACACACAGCCAGTTCCAGTCTGGTGCTTCTTTGGGGCACCAGATGCCTGTTGAAGAAGTGGTAAACAAAGGTTTCCCCACTGAGGGTGTCAGAGAAGTTTGAAAACTCCTGTCTGCAGTTCAGCCTTGCCTGCAGCTCTGCCCTGCCTGCAGCGGGGAGCCGAAGAGGTTACCCCAGGTGCAGGCACAGCCAGCCCAGATATTCTGGCCATGCAGGCAGCTTACTGCCTGCTCTTCTCTCTCTGAACACACATGCTAGCACAAACTGCTGGAAAAACAAACCAGCATAACCCAGGATGACCCAGGAGACCATTCTTCCACCCCAAATACCAATCAGCAACTGCTGTGGAAAGTATTTCCCCTGTGCTGGGAAAATAAGACTGGGATGTCCTATTTTATAGGATAGATATATATCTCCTATTTTATAGGATATATTAAAATATACATAT